AAAACGTTTGTATGAGAAAAAGATAAGGGCTGTTTTTAGGGTTGTCACGGCAATTATTCGATTTTTTCTCGCCGTAAGAACCATCCTTGGACATCAACAAACATTTTAAAAAAAGAATTGGCCAAATTGGTCCAGGCGTTGTTGAGTTAGACGCTTACCAACACATTTTGCGATCCATTTTTATATATAAGATTTTAGAGAATTTATCCAATTTATAATTGGTAACAGAATTTACTGATAAATGTTCCATTTTAGATACAATGCTCCGTTTAAAAAGGATATTCAACTTTGGGTGTGGAAACTGGTGACTACTTCAGAAATTTTGGAAAAGTGGTTGATTGTCCAGAATTTGTGGACGTATTTGGAGGCTGTCTTTGTGGGCGGTGATATTGCTAAACAGATGCCGGCTGAGGCTAAACGGTTCAGTGTGAGTAAAAACTATGATTAATTTTTTTATGTAATAAAATTAAGTAAAACGGATGTCAGATTCGTAATCAGCTCTTCGAGATCTATCATTTGATATGTCACATGCAAAATGTTGTTTGAGAATTGCCTTGAGGCAAGTTGCTGTTTATAATTGCAAATTTAGTTTTATCATGTTATCAAATAAATATAAACAAGTGGGGTATCGTGCCTTAAGGCAAATTGCTGGAATACTGAATGTTTTCAGATAGATTATTATTAATATTGTAACATTGTCTAATATTTATAAGAACTATATGAACTGAATTGCAAAGTTGAAATTATTTGTTTAAAGTATATTAGAACTATAGTCAGAATTAAAAATAAAATCTGAATTATTTTCGATATACAAATTTTTTAACTTCCCGTAGGGTAAGTTATTGTAATGGGCCGAAAATCGGAATTGAACATTTTCACATTTCTCGACGTTTTGAAGGTTTCTGAACATTTTGGCATACCTCAGAAAAAATGGATGTGTGTGTGTTATGTGTGTGTGTATGTGTGTGTGTGTGTATGTATGTGTGGATACAAATTTCCAGTCACGTTTTAGGGCGCACGTATCAACCGATTTGAATGGTTCAAAAAACATTCGATTCCTATTGATAGGGAAAAGAGCTGATTAGTTTTTGGCAAAGGCAGGTCCAGCCGTTTCGGTGATACGGAGCAAAGAGTGCGGAAAATAGAAATCGAATTTTTGAGAGAACGGAGTATCCGATTTGAATGATCTAAAAAAACATTCAATTAGTAATGATTGGGAGAAGTGTTTATTAGTTTTTGGCAAAGGCAGGCCCAGCAATTTCAAAGATACGGAGCTAAATATGTAAAAAATGGCAGTTTTTGAGAGAACTAAGCGTCCGATTTGAATGATTAAAAAAACTTTCTGCTTGTCTTAACAAAATAATTGATTTTGGAAAAAAAAATTTTGTTCCATTTTTTTTTTTTTTTTTTTAGTTTTTTGTTGAAACAAATAATTTCAACTTTGCAATTCAGTTTATATAATTCTTATAAATATTAGACAATGTTACAATATTTATAATAATCTATTTGAAAACATTCAATATTCCTCGAACATTTCGTTACGGTACGGGAAGTTTCAGCAATTTGCCTTTCAGCACGATGCCACCCACCCCACTATTTTTTTTTGAAAAAAAAAAGTTGAAACAAAAAATTTTTTCTCCAAAATCAATTATTTTGTTAAGACAAACAGAAGTTCTTTGAATCATTTAAATCGGACGCTTAGTTCTCTCAAAAACTGCCATTTTTTACACATTTAGCTCCGTATCTTCGAAATGCCTCGGCCTGCCTTTGCGAAAAACTAATAAACACTTCTCCCAAATATTACTAATTGAATGTTTTTTAGATCATTCAAATCGGATGCTCCGTTCTCTCAAAAACTCGTTTTCTATTTTCTGCACACTTTGCACTTTATCTCCGTAACGGCTGGACCTGCCTTTGCCAAAAACTAATCAGCTCATCCCAATCAATAGAAATCGAATGTTTTTTGCGCTCGAAAACGTGACTGGAAATTTGTAACCATACATACATACATACACACACACTCACACATCTATTTTTTCTGAGGTATGCCAGTAAAATGTTCAGAAACCTTCAAAACGTCGAGAAATGTAAAAATTTTCAATTTCGATTTTCGGCCCATTACAATAACTTACCCTACCAGAAGCTAATAAAAACAGCAAAAAATTAATATTGTGCTTCGAGAAAGTTGTTTAATGATAAATGCTAAACATTCTTTAGCAAGTTTTCTTTGGGCAAGTTGCTACTTTACAACTTTATTTAAATAAAATAGTAGACCTTTTGCTCTCTAGCTGTGCTCTATTCAATCTGCGATTAACTAAAATGGAGAGGAAAAAAGGGTGTAACTTCTGAATTTTTTTTACTGTGCTCCGATTTGGATAAAATGTTGGAAATAGTGTAATATTACGTAAGGGTCTACTGTCTACCCAACGTTATCGCTCGAATTGTTCGTAAGTCGTTGGTCCAGATATGATCAAATTGATTCTACGATTCGCTTGTCAAACATTGAAATTACCAAAAATATAATATTTCGGCTATAAATTGAAACTTTTAATATACCCTATGTCCTAAATGGGATCTATATGCACACGGTGAGCAAAACAAATTTTAAATCGGTTCAGTATTTTAGGCGTCCATCGCGGACGGCAGCTGTGACACTAAATTTATATATATATATATATATATATATATATATATATATATACTAGCTAACCCGGCAAACGTTGTTTTGCCATAAAAAATATGCCTAAATTGATAAAAAATTAATAAAAGTGGCAAAAATCAAATATTTAATAGATTTGGACTCTGATTCTTTGACAAATAGTTAAAAACTTGTTATAATTTTCAAAATTATTTGACATTTTATACTTCAAAAATTAATTCACTCGCATCATAGTTTTTTGTTTATTATACTTTTGTCATGTCATATATGTGAATAAAATTTTCTTTCAAATATTATTTATTTGTTAATAAATTAATAATTATTTTAAGTCATCAATGAATAATTATATAATTGTTAAATTCATAAGTTTGGCTAAATCAACACAGGAGCATTGTGGAAATAAATATTTTTTTTACATAAAGATCTGATTTTTGACATTTGCATTTTATTTCAAATTGATTATAATTGTCAAAATATTTTCTTTTCGGTCAAAATTTAATATAATATGATATAATATTTAGTTTGTCTAATTTTGACATTTGTCATTTTAGTGTTTTGTTTTTTTTTTAGTCATTTTCTGTCAAAATTTTTAGAAATTTATAAAAATTATATATTTATATTTCAAATTTACTTTTCAAAATTTCCTATAACCTAAGTTGGATATATATGCACACAATGAGCCAATAAAATTTAAAATCGGTTCAGTAGTTTGGGCGTCCATCGCAAACCAACATCGTAACACGAGATTTATATATATAGATATATATATATATATATATATATATATATAGTAAATAGTTTTGGGAACCTAAGGGGGCGTCCATTAATCACGTGATCGATTTTTTTTAGGAATTTTGAACCCCCCTCTCCCTTACGTGATATTTAGAATAACCACCCTTCCACCCACCATACATCACGTGTATTTTTAGTTACGTAAAATTTTCCGAACGAATTTTTAGAATTCTTTTTTTTTGAAAATTAAGTAAAAAATTAATACACGTGGTGATATCTAACTGGAACTTTCTCTTCCCCACATAATTTTTGGTGATTTTCTATCAAAGCCATACCCCCCCCCCCTTCCGCTGAAAGCCACACGTGATAATGTAGATTATAGTGAATATCATATTCGTTTTCAGCTCTTTGAGACCTATCATTTGATACGTCACATGCCACGGTTTAAAATTTGCCTTTAGGCAAGTTGCTGTTCTAGGATCAACTGGTATCATCTAAAAGTTCCTGGAACTTGTCCAAAGGCAAAAGGCCACTCACAACTAGTTTAATTTTATATCATGACCTATTTTTCTTATTTTCAGACCATCGACAAGTCCTGGGTCAAAATAATGTTTCGTGCCAGGGACACCCCCAACGTCATAGACTGTTGTGTCGGAGATGAGACTATGATTCAACTGCTGCCCTTTCTTTTGGACCAGCTGGAAACTTGCCAAAAGAGTTTGACAGGTAAAATAAAGAATGTAACAAGATCTAGTAATTGTTATCTAAGTATATATAAAAATAAGTCGGGTTTTCCTTCCTGACGATATAACTCCAGAACGCACGAACCGATTTCGACAATTTTGCATTCGTTGGAAAGGTCTCGGTCTCCGCAAGGTTTATAACTAAGAAAATTAGTTGGGCATGGCATCGTGCCCTAATATAAATTTCTGAAACTTCACGCACCGTAATTAAAAATTCGAGTAATGACATTAGTGAGAATTTTCAGAATTATGCTTGGTCAAGTCAACGAGCAATTCTTGCCGCAAAGAATAATGATGTACACGCACTGAATTTCACCATTCAATCAAAAATTGCTGGCGATTTGGTGACATACCAATGATTCCGACTGGTCTTTCGTTTGACTTCAAACGATTGCAATATCCAGTTCGCCTTGCGTTCGCAATAACAAGTCGCAAGGCCAATCGCTTAGTGTTTGCGGGATAAATTTCAAATAGATTATTTAGAAAATCATTGTTTTTCACATGGGCAGTTATACGTTGCCTGTTCACGAGTTGGAAAACTATGCGCTTTGTTTGTGTTAACGTCAGACCAAAAAACAAAAAATGTGGTTTACCAAAGAGCACTTCAATGAAACGGATAATTTGCGGATTCACTTTCATTTACTTAGAGAAGTTCACATAAAAAACACTTCATTTTTGTAATCGAAATAAATTCATTACTGTTGTATGATAAAATCACATTTTTCCTTTTCAAATATAAAACAAACAAAAATTTTTTCAACTTTCTCATGAAACCATCTGGTGGCGAAACGGAGTTCGTCGGGTTTGCTAGTTAATTTTAAATATCAATTAACAATTGTAATTAATGTTTTATTTTTGTGTCATAGGTTATTTGGAGCAGAAGCGCCTGTGTTTCCCAAGATTCTTCTTCGTATCTGATCCTGTTCTGCTGGAAATTTTGGGACAGAGTTCTGATCCTCATACGATACAACCACATTTGCTGAGTATCTTCGATGCCGTTGCAAAGGTAAGTGAATAGATAGAAATATTAATCATCCTCATCTTGCAATGTGCTAGTATATATATATATATATATATATGTATATATATATATGTATATATATACTAGCTGACCCGGCAAACGTTGTTTTGCTAAGTAAGGTATATTTTAAACAATTTCTAGGGAATCAAAAATATTAATACTTTAAGTGTATAAGGATGTGTTTTTTCAATGCTATATAGAATGAGGTATTATAAAAACAATAAACCCCATTAGTTTGTCTATATTTTGTCAATACAATCAAACTGCTAGAAGTTTTATACTCTTTCTATAGAAAACATGGTATAATCCAATCCAAGTATTTTTTGATCTCTCGACTTATTGATTACGTTTCAAGTTTTTCAGATTCTTTTTGGATTCTGCATTTTGTGTATAATTGTAAATAATACTACTGAACTTATATAAAATTTTCAAATTTCTGCGAGGAAAGATAGAAAATGAATTTAAGTATCTCTTCTTTGACCTGCTTTCGACTTTGAGCAAATTTTAATTATATTATAATAATCAAATCAATTATATCACAATAAATAACACATTTCAAACGAAAATTTATCTGACTACGTTCAGTAAAACTATCAGCTACTTCATCACTGTAGAAATGTGCTTTTTTATGTCTTTCAAAAATTTGTTGTCTAGACCTTTTTACCCTATAGGCGGGGTAACTTGAAACAGGTTTAATGTCTCATTTTAATTTTACAAACTTTTTACAAAATAATTACATTTTAACTAATGCTAAAAAACTACCAACGGAAAAAAATACTTTTATTATTGCTTTTCAAACATTACCGTTTATCTCCCAATAGCAAAATCGTAAGAATCAAGGTTATAGCTGGTTATACATCTTTTGCCCTCCACTTTCAAATATTGTTGTTAAACAATGTTTAACTTTACTGGTTTTTGACACATCGATGGTGGAACTTTTTAACCCCGGACCTTTATATATTACTATCTATTTTTCGATAAATTCTGGTAAATTATAACTGGGAAAATGTTATTCGACAAAATGTCCCTCTGATCGATACCAAATTTCGGTTCTGAATTTAAATAATAAAAATAAAAAAATAATATAACCTAGAAGTTGCTTTATAAATATCAATGAGTATATAATTATACAAATGAGATCTTTCAGAGCTCCGTGTTTGAGAAAAATATGATTTGCAAAAAAAAGAGTGCCACAACGCCAAAAAGTGCATTTTTATATTAACAATTCAAAAAAGTTGATACTTTGGGTTTCTAGTAACTCTTGCGATCCGTTTAATAATGTTTTTGTGTACAAATAAAACTACAAATAAAACTACTTACTACAATTTAATCATAATTAAATAATATTCACCTAAAACATCCTATTAAACGTAATTAAACATCATCTGTCAAAAACGTTTGACATTTGACGTATTAGCCACCGTCATTTTATTCAAATTACGCTTCCACAAAAATTTTCAAATTAAAATTATAAAATTATTGTAAATTTTCTACGCGACTTTGAAATGATATCTCGCCTTTCCGACAACCTACTGATTGGTACGAATTTTTCAAGACTAAGGCTGGCCAAATCGGTTTAGCTGTTTTCGAGTTTTAGCGGATCATTTGATCGAGAGCTCCATTTTTATATATAAGAAGATATATATTACAATTTCAATATTGCAACGTACTTGAATAAGTATTCCTAAAAAATTAAAAATCAAGATCAGAATTTTTATTTTCATTTTCGTCCAAATTTTTTTCGCCTTCACAAATAAGTTCGTCATCCAATTATTCAAATTCGGTTTGTGAATGAGTTATTCATGACGGCTTATTGCGTAACCATAATTATTTATTATTTGTTATTATTATTAGTTTTTAAGTAAATGCAAAAATCCCGAAAAAAATTAACTCGTGAGTTTATACGTTATTCCGAGCACGTTCAAGGAAATCTTTGCGAAGAATTGAGTTAATTTTCTAAAGTAAAGAGGTATAGACGGAGGGCTGGTGGAAATATTGCTTGTAGTAATAATTTAATAATGTACTAATGTTACCGCGGATTAATATAATGGAATTGAAGATTTGAAATCATTATGTTATAAAAATAAGATTCTCACTTCTTGATAATTAAAATTGAAGTCCTTTTGAAATTTTCAAATTGCATTTTGTTTTAATTTGCAATTTTTATAATTCTTAAATTCCATATTTTTCATTTTTTGAATCAACTTATACTTTTGAAGATCTTATAATTTGATATGTGCAATTGAGATTTTGGAATTATAGCCCTTAGTATATCAAGGCTACGACTTAAGATTTATTAAAATTTGTTATCCCTGAATTTGAAATATTGAAATTTAAGATGTTAGATTTTTAAAATCAGGAATTTGAGATTTTCAATTTTTAAATGATTAAATTACAGGTGTTGGTATTTGAGGTCTTGAAATTTGTGGAATTTGGAATTTGGAACTTTAATTTTAGAAATTTAAAATATAGGAATTTTAAAACTTAGAATTTGAGACCTTGTAATGAGAGTTATAGTCTTAAAATTCGGGATTGTGGAATTTAAATTCTTTTAATTTTTGGTTCAGCAATTAGATTTATTAGAATTGGATTTTTTGGGGTTTGAGTTTGTGGATTTTGAAATTTTGGAATTTGTAGTCTTTGACGTTTTGATCTTGGAAATTAAAATCTTGAATTTGTGTTTGTGTAATTAAATCTTGCATTTTGTAATCTTTGAATTTAAATTTTCGGCATTCGTGTCCCTTAATTTGAGTTTCTGGAATTTAACATTTTAAAATTTGTAGTCTTTGAATTTTAATTTTTGGCATTTGAGATCTTAATATTTGAGTTTGTCGAATTTGTTAACTTGAAATTTAGAAACTTAAAATTTACAATTTTAAAGATTTGAAATTTGGGATTTTTAAATCCTGGAATTCGAGATTTTAATTTTGTGAAATTGTGGAGCTTATCTTCGAAATTAGGATCATTGTTTAGGAATTTAAAATCAAAAAATTTAAAATTAGGATCTTTCAATCTTTGAATTTGAGCTTTTCTTGAAACATTTTATATGAGATGTGAAATCTTATAATTTGCAATTTTGAAGTATAAAATCTTGGAAAATTTTGTTTTGGAATTTAAATTTATATAATTTGGGTTCCTGGAATTTTAGTTCATAAAATTTTAAATTTCTGGAATTTGAGTTTTTGAAATACCAGTTCTTGCAATTTCAGTTCTTTGAATTTGAGTTCTTGGAATTTGAGTTCTTGGAATTTGAGTTCATGGAATTTGACTTTTCGGAATTTGACTTTCTGGAATTCAAAGAACTCAAATTTTCAAAAGGAGTTTCTTTGATTTTCAGTTCCTGGAATTTGAGTTCTTAGAATTTGAGTTTCTGAAATTTGGGTTCTTGGAAATTCAGTTCTTGGAATTTGTGTTTCTGGAATGGAGTTTCTGGAATTTGAGTTCTTGGAATTTCATTTCTTTGGATTTGAGTTTTTATAATTTGAGCTTCTGAAATTTGAGTTTCTGGTTTTTAATTTTTCGAATTTGAGATTTTGGAGTTTGAAATCTTGGAATTTGAGTTCCTGAAATTTGAGTTCTTGGAATATGAGTTCTTTAAAATTTGAGTTTTTGGAATTTGAGATCTTGAAATTTGAACTTTTGCAATTCAAAGTGATTCAATTTGAGTTTTGGAATTTGAGTTCTTGGAATTTGAAATGATTGTATTTGAGTTCTTGATATTTGGAGTGATAAATTTTAGATCTTGTAATTTCAAATTATAAAATTTGAGATTTTGGAATTTGTGTTCTTGGAATTCAAGTTCTTGCAATTTGAGTTCTTAGAAATTGAATCTTTGGAATTTGGGTTCGGGAAATTTGAAGACTTACAATACAAGGTCTTGGATTTTGAAATCTAATGAATTTATATATCGTAATAGAAATATTGGAAATTAAGTTCTTTTAAATTGCTAATTTGTGGAATTTGAAATTGTGAACTTTGTGATCTTCGAATTTAGGGTCATTGCTATGAAATTTTAGATCGTGGAATTTTGAGATTTTAGAATTGGATTTTTTTTGAATTTGAATTTTTGGAAATATCAATTATTATAATTTGGATCTTAGAATTTGAGTCACTATAAAATTTCAATTGAAACTCGAGTTTGACACTTGCCCTGAATTTTGGTATTTGAGAGTATCGTATCTCGGCAGTTCAAATCTCATTTAAATAGTTGGGAATTAATATTGGGGTTTCTCAGCTCTCTCACTATATTATCCAACACTGAGATGAGAATTGCTGAATGTTGTATAATAGGACAAACATTGAGAGAGCCACCTGAAACTTTTGCTCATAACTATTTAGGTAAATAGTGCGGTTGGTGACGGTAATGGAATTATTGATTCTGAATCATTTATATATATAAATACATTATATATATATATATATATATATATATATATATATATATACAATTATAAATGTTTTGGCAATCAATTAACATGCCCATTAACGGTTATGCAACGCATTCAAAAGGTTTATTACCCTTTGCACATTTTAATTGTGCAAATTATATATATATTAATTTTATATATATTATATATATGAACCCAGTTTTGGGTTAACTTCTATTACATTACGAGTCGATTTTCTCACAATTAATGAAATGCATTTTCAACTTTTTAAATTGCGTTTTTATTGTTTGCTGAGTAATTTTGCAGTATTTGAATTTAGTAGAAATTGAATTTCGCAGTATCTTATTTTGCAGAATTTTAATTGTGTAAAAATCGCCTTTGCAGAATGTAATATTTAAAAATTTGTTTTTTGCAGAATTTAAATGTTAAAAAATTTAATTATTCAGAATCTAATATTTGATAATTTTAATTTTTCAGTGTTTAAAGTTTGTAGAAATCGAATCTCATTTTTAAGAATTTGAGTTTTGCTGAATTAAAATGTTAAATGGAATTTTGCAGAATATTATATTTAAGTATTTGAATTTTGTAGAAGTTGAC